GCCACGAAACGTGTGAGGGGTGTGCCGAAGTGGGTGTGGTGACGCATGCGGGCGGCAGCACTGTGGCCTTCGGGGGCTCCTATGGGGCCACGAACGTGTGAGGGGTGTGCCGAATTGGGGTGGGTGACGCATGCGGGCGGCAGCACTGGGGCCTTCGGTGGGGCTCCCTATGGGGCCACGAAACGTGTGAGGGGTGTGCCGAATTGGGTGTGCGGGACGCATGCGGGCGGCAGCACTGGGGCCTTCGGTGGGGCTCCCTATGGGGCCACGAAACGTGTGAGGGGTGTGCCGAATTGGGTGTGCGGGACGCATGCGGGCGGCAGCACTGGGGCCTTCGGTGGGGCTCCCTATGGGGCCACGAAACGTGTGAGGGGTGTGCCGAATTGGGTGTGCGGGACGCATGCGGGCGGCAGCACTGGGGCCTTCGGTGGGGCTCCCTATGGGGCCACGAAACGTGTGAGGGGTGTGCCGAATTGGGTGTGCGTGACGCATGCGGGCGGCAGCGCTGGGGCCTTCGGTGGGGCTCCCGATGGGGGGTGCGTCGGAGGGGTTCCCTAATGGGGCCACGAAGCGTGGAGGGGTGTGCCGAATTGGGTGTGCGGGACGCATGCGGGCGGCAGCACTGGGGCCTTCGGTGGGGCTCCCTTTGGGGCCACGAAGCGTGTGAGGGGTGTGCCGAATTGGGTGTGCGGGACGCATGCGGGCGGCAGCACTGGCGCCTTCGGTGGGGCTCCCCTATGGGGCCACGAAACGTGTGAGGGGTGTGCCGAATTGGGTGTGCGTGACGCATGCGGGCGGCAGCACTGGAGCCTTCGGCGGAGCTCCCTATGGGGCCACGAAACGTGTGAGGGGTGTTGCGAGGAATTGGAGTTTGTGGGTTGACGCATGCGGCGGCAGCATGGGGCCTTCGGTGGGGCTCCCGTGGGGCCACGAAAACGAAGTGTGGGCGTGCGCCGGAATTGGGTGTGGTTAGTGAGCATGCGTGGGGCTCGGGCAGCATGGGGCCTTCGGTGGAGCTCCCCATGGAGCCACCCACGAAGCGAGTGAGGGGTGTGCCGAAATGGGGGGTGGAACCGCATGCGAGCGCAGCCACTGGAGCGTTCGGTGGAGCTCCCTATGGGGCCACGAAACGTGTGAGGGGTGTGTCGAATTGGGTGTGGCTGACGCATGCGGGCGGCAGCACTGGGGCCTTCGGTGGAGCTCCCTATGGGGCCACGAAACGTGTGAGGGGTGTGCCGAATTGGGTGTGGCTGACGCATGCGGGCGGCAACACTGGGGCCTTCGGCGGAGCCCCTATGGGGCCACGAAACGTCTGAGGGGTGTGCCGAATTGGGTGTGGGTGACGCATGCGGGCGGCAGCACTGGGGCCTTCGGCGGAGCTCCTATGGGGACTGGTAGGGCCTTTCAGGTGGGGCTCCCTATGGGGCCACGAAACGTGTGAGGGGTGTGCCGAATTGAGTGTGCGGGACGCATGCGGGCGGCAACACTGGGGCCTTCGGTGGTGCTCCCTATGGGGCCACGAAACGTGTGAGGGGTGTGCCGAATTGGGTGTGCGGGTCGCATGCGGGCTGCAGCACTGGGGCCTTCGGTGGGGCTCCCTATGGGGCCACGAAACGTGTGAGGGGTGTGCCGAATTGGGTGTGCGGGACGCATGCGGGCGGCAGCACTGGGGCCTTCGGTGGGGCTCCCTATGGGGCCACGAAACGTGTGAGGGGTGTGCCGACTTGGGTGTGGGTGACGCATGCGGGCGGCAGCACTGGGGCCTTCGGTGGGGCTCCCTATGGGGCCACGAAGCGTGTGAGGGGTGTGCCGAATTGGGTGTGCGTGACGCATGCGGGCGGCAGCACTGGGGCCTTCGGTGGGGCTCCCTATGGGGCCACGAAACGTGTGAGGGGTGTGCCGAATTGGGTGTGCGGTGACGCATGCGGGCGGCAGCACTGGGGCCTTCGGTGGGGCTCCCTATGGGGCCACGAAACGTGTGAGGGGTGTGCCGAATTGGGTGTGGGTGACGCATGCGGGCGGCAGCACTGGGGCCTTCGGTGGGGCTCCCTATGGGGCCACGAAACGTGTGAGGGGTGTGCCGAAGTGGGTGTGGGTGACGCATGCGGGCGGCAGTACTGGGGCCTTCGGTGGGGCTCCCTATGGGGCCACGAAACGTGTGAGGGGTGTGCCGAATTGGGTGTGGGTGACGCACGCGGGCGGCAGCACTGCAGTGGGGCCTTCTGTGGGGCTCCCTGTGGGGCCACGAAACGTGTGAGGGGTGTGCCGAATTGGGTCTGGGTTACGCATGCGGGCGGCAGCACTGGGGCCTTCGGTGGGACTCCTTACGGGGCCACGAAACGTGTGAGGGGTGTGCCGAAGTGGGTGTGGTTGACGCGGAGGGGGAGGAGGGAGGATGAGGGGGAGGAGGAGGAGGAGGAGGAGGGGAGAACGCGGGGACCGTCTCTTCAAATCGAGGACCCAACACCACAGGATGGTTAGGAAAAAAATGAGACGACGTGCGCGCGCGAGCGTCGTCGCGAACGCATGCCGGAATCCTTCAAGAATGCTTGTTTTCGGAAGGATTGCAAAATCGAGTGTCCAAAAACATAAAAAAAACCTAGGCTTCCGCAACGCGGATCTTCAACAAAAGCGTGCGCACGCGCTCTTGCGTCGTCGTCGTCGTCGTCGTCGCCGTCCTCCCTCCTCTCTCGTCGTCGTCGTCGTCGTCGTCGTCGTCGTCGGTGTCGTCATCCTCTGTCTTTCCTCGTCGTCGTCGTCCTCTTTGGCGTCGTCGTCGTTTCCGTCGTCGTTGTCGCCGTGGTCCTTTCTCCGCCCTCGTCGTCGTCGTCGTCCGTCGTCGGCGTCTCGTCGTCGTCCCTCCTATTGCGTCGCCGTCGTCGTCGTCGTCGTCGTCGTCGTCGTCGTCGTCGTCGTCGTCGTCTTCCCTCCTCCCTCATCGTTGTCGTCGTCGGCGTCGCCGTCCTCCCTCCTTCGTCGTTCGCGTCGTCGCCGTCCTCCCGCCTCCCTCGTCGTTGTCGTGATTGTCGCCGTCGTCGTCCTCTCTCCTCCTTCGTCGTCGTCGTCTTCGTTGGCGACGTCGTCGTCGTCTTCGTCGTCGCCGTCGGCGGCGTCGTCGTCGTTGTCGTCGGCGTCGTCGTCGTCGGCGTTGTCATCGTCGTCGTCGGCGTTGTGTCGTCGTTGTCGTCGGCGTCGTCGTCGTCGGCGTTGTCATCGTCGTCGTCGGCGTTGTCATCGTCGTCGGCGTCGGCGTCGGCGTCGTCGTCGGCGTCGTCGTCGGTGTCATCGTCGTCGTCATCGTCGTCGTTGTCGTCGTCGAAGTCGTTGGAGATGTCGTCGGTGTCGTCGTAGTCGTTGTCGGCGGCGTCGTCTTCGTCGTTGTCGCTGTCGTCGTCGGCGTCGGTGTCGGTCCAAAGTGCCATGTGGTACTTACCGTCACGGTCTGAAGAGGTCTTGCGACCAAGTTGCGGGTGGGAGGGTGGGATGTTTGCACGAGCAGAAGAGAGGACAGTTTCAAGACAGTCAAAGTGATTTGCACGACGTAGATTGCACCATTGAGATTGCACATCTTAGATTGCTAGACGCACTCTGTTTGGGGTCCGCATTGACTAACACTAACACGAGATAAGAGTACAGGCGAAGATAAGGAATATGGCATGAGTGTTGGAGGAGAGTAGGAGAAGGAAGATACAAATGGGTAGAGGGAGGGGGATGGGGGACAGAATTGAGGAGGTGGAGTCCGTGATCTTGTAGAACATTTCTGTGAGTGGTCTCAATGGCTTGCCGCCCCCCCCCCCATGGCAGCAAAAGTAATTCAACTCCTTTTTCCCCTCCCCATTCCCCTCCCATCCTCCACTATCCTGCGCCCCACTGTCCTCCTCCTCCTCGCTTCCTTCCTTCCGTCCTTCCTTCCTTCCTGCTCGCCTTTCCCCGCCAGAACACCACTAGGTTTGCAGCTCGCGTCCGCTACTCGTGAGCCCCAGCTGCCAGGGCTGACCACGATTCGACCGATTCGGTGATGCGTGTCCGTGTCCTTCGCGTGTTATCCATCGGCTCGGTCGCGCATCCTCGAGGACGACCCGGTCGACTTATCGATCTGTGATGAAGGGCAGAAGTTGGACAGTCATGCATAGCTAAGGTTCGAGTGGTTGGTCGGTTTCGCGCGAGCCGCTTCTGCGCCGACCCAGGAGAGAAGTCTGAGGAGGAGGAGGAGGAGGAGGAGCGTCCACACTTCTCTTTACCACCATCCTCCTCCCCAGCCCCCGTCCGCCGCCTCCCCTTCCTCATATCTGTCAACCGTGTCCCACTGATACCCCTCCTCGGTCTCGTCCTGTGTGTCACCCCCCGACTCGCGTTCCTTGACTCCTTACTTCTCGCCCCTTTTCCTCCTCGAGATCTCCACCCCCTGCACGTCACCATTTACCTCGCATGCTCTACTGTTCTCACTGTCCTTCCCTACCTCTTCGGACCCCTCTTTCTCATACTCCTCTTGCCCCCATCTTGGTCCTCCTACTTCTCCTCCACGTCCTTCTCTTCTCTTCCTCCTCCTCCTTGTCCTCGTCCTCCTCCTCCTCCTCCTGCTCCTTCTCCTCATCCTCCTCCTCCTCCTCGTTCTCCCCGTCATCATCATCCGCGTCCTCGTTCTTCTCATCGTTGCTCTCCCTTGTTTCCTCCACCTGGGCATCATCCGCCTCTTTCTCATATCTATCTCTCCCCTCTTGCCCTCCGCATCCGCCGTATGCCCTCCTCCCACTCATCCTGATCTTCCTCTTGCTCCGCCACCTCGTCCCTCTCCTCCCTTTCCACCTATTCATTCAACCCCTTCCCCCTCCTGACTCCCCGCCCGTCTCTACACCATACGCCTCATCCAGCTCCTCCTGGCTCCTGCCCCTCCTCTCCCTCCTTCCCTCCTTTCCCGCCTCCCCGCCGCTACCACTCCCCATTCCCCCCCCCGCCCCTCCCCCGCCCATGCAGCTGCCCAGCCCCGCCTCACCCCAAAGGCGGCTGTACACGCCGGTGCCAAGACAGGCGCCGCTGGCGGAGCCGGTCGTGGGGCGGTAGCGGCTGAAGCTGCCGCGCAGCTCCGATGTCCAGGCTCCCCTCCCCCGCCCTCCTTGCGTTGCCTCCCCGTCCCCTTCCCCCGTGGAGGGGAGACATGTTTCTATGTAGCGGTGCGTTTTCTTGCAGTCTTGAGGATTCCTTTTCGAATGGTTGTTTTATTGGCTTGTGTTTCAGTGTTCCCGCATTGAAAGCTAAACGGATGTCAGTTCAAATTCGATCGACGTCCTCTGAATTTGGGGTATGATCCATCATGATTGAAGGTCGATCGGTTCCTATCGTATTTTGATATTCTAATCAGGGGCCTCTCTCAATCTCGAATGAATTCCAATCAATCTCCTATTCTAATCCAGTGGGAATCCTTTGAATATGGGGTCTGTCCCATCCCTCTTTAGAACTCCTATCGGGCCTGAGTTCCAATCCACCTGAAGTATTATGGAACTGTTTTTTGGCCCATTCCGATTGACTTCCGATTGGGGCCCCACGCACAGTCAATTAAGATCATATGACCCAGGGGCTTGACCCGTTTCGATCGGATCCTTTTGAACGGTTCACTCAAATCCGATGGGAATATTCTGAGCCCGAGGTCATGCCTATTGAAATATCATTAAATGCGCTTCGAGTCCAATCAGAATGCACTGACTATCGGGCTTGCTCTCTTCGGCCCATGTTGAATTCCACTGGACGCCTTGAGTCTAAGGCATGCGCAAGTCCAATTGACGTCCAACGCGAATCCGACTTGCAACATAATCATTTTGAACAGGAGGTCTGCTGCTTCATGACTTCTCTGTCTTCAATAGGCGGTGTTGGTCGTGGCGGTCCAGTTTCTCCTGCCCATCCTTTTTCCACCAGACGTTCCTGCGTGGCGTCCTTCCGCCGCGGTCACTGCGATCACTGATACTACTTCCATTACACAGTGTCTAACATCACGCCTGCTGCGACTACTACGGCTACTACGACTAGTACGACTATTGTCACCACGACGACGACGACGACTACTATTACGACTACTACTACTACTACTACTACTACTACTACTACTACTACTACTACTACTACTACTACTACTACTACTACTACTACAGTATTACGACTGCTACTACTACTACTACTACTACTACTACTACTACTAGTACTAGTACTACTACTACTACTATTACTACTACTACTACTACTACTACTACTACTACTACTACTACTACTACTACTACTACCGACTACTACTACTACTACTACTACTACTACTACTACTACTACGACAACAACTACTACTACTACTACTACCAATGGTATTATAACGACCACGACTGCTACTACTACTACTGCTTCTACTACGAGCAATACTACTACTATTACTTCTACCGCTACTACTACAACTACTGCTACTACGACTACTACTTAGTACTAGTACTAGTAGTAGTAGTAGTAGTAGTAGTAGTAGTAGTACGATTACTACTACTACTACTACTACTACTACTACTACTACTACTACTAGTACTAGTACCACTACTACCTCGATCCCTACGACGACTACTACTACTACTACTACGACTACTACTACTACTACTACTACCCTTAATAGTACTACTACTACTACTACTACGACCACTACTACTACTACGACGACAACTACTACTACTACTTCTTTTACTACGACTACTACGATCACTACTATTACAACCATTACTGCGACTACTGTTGCGAATACTATCATGACTACTACGACACTACCGCTACTAGTACTACTACTACTACTACTACTACTACTACTACGACTGTTACTACTACTACTACTACTACTACTACTACTACTACTACTGCTGATACTACGACTACTACTCCGGCTACGGCTATTACGAATCTTCTCACGGCCATTACTATTACAACTTCTATTTATATTACTACAACTACTACTACTACTACTACTACTACTACTACTACTACTACTACTACTGGTACTGCCATACTGAGGCTACTACGACCAGTACGGCGACAGCGACTACTACTACTACTATTATTAGTTTTACTATTACAGCTACAGCCATTACTGGCTACTACCAGTGCTCGTGTAATTCTTACTACCACTATTACAACTAGGCGCTACGACTAAATTGCTACCGCCCCGACTGCTACTCCAATTACATTTACTAGTATTACTATTACTACTACTACTACTACTACTACTACTACTACTACTACCACGACTACGACTACTACTACCACTACCGTCACTATTACTACTACTGCTTTTACGACTTCTACAACTACGACTACTACCATTACTACGAGTATTACAATTAGTATTACTACTTCGGCTTCTACCACTACTACAACGACGACTACTACTACTGATACTACTACTACTACTACTACTACTACTACTACTACTACTGCTACTACTACTACTACTACTACTATTTCTACGACTGCTACTACGACTATTTCTGCTGCCATTCCCACGAATGCTGCCACTACTACTACTACTACTACTACTACTACTACTACTACCAATATTACTAATAATACTACTAATGCTACTTCTGATGCAGCAAACACTACTTCCACTACTAGTACTAGTACTAGTAGTAGTACTACTATTACTACTACTACTACTACTACTACTACTACTACTAAAACTACTACTGCTACTACTACTACTACTACTACTACTACGGCTACTACTGCTACTACTACTACTGCCACTACGACTACTACTACTACTACTACTACCACTTTCAGTACATCTAATACGACTACGACTTCTACGACCTCTTCTACCACGACAGCTAACGCTACTGCTACGGCGACTGCTGCGAAAATGGCGGCCGCTACTATTGCGAGTGGTACTAGCACTGGTGTTGCTGCGACTATATACTACTGCCATTCCGATTGCTACGACTACGACGATCATTACGCCTACCACTACTATTTCTTGTTTTGGGACTATTACTACGACGACTACTACTACTACTATTACTACGACTACTACCACTACTACTACTACTACTACTACTACGATTACTGCTACTACTACTACCACTACTACTACTACTACTACTACCACCACTACTACCACTACTACTACTACTACTACTACTACTACTACTACTACTACTACGACTACTACTACTACTACGACTACTACCACTAGTATTACTACTACTACTACTACTACTACTACTACGACTACTACGACTACTACGACGACTACTACTACTAGTACCACTACTACCTCTACTAGTGCGGCTACGACTACTGCAGATATTAGTACGACTACTATCACTCTTATTACTACGACTACTACAACCACCACACCGTCCTTTTAACTAGCACTTCAGCTACTACCACTACTAACATTACTACTACCACCACTGCTGCTACTGCGACTAGTTCCACAGCTTTTTTCTATTTTATTTGTTCAACTACTACCGCTAGTAAGATAATTATTTTGACTACGACTACCACTTACTGTTGCCGTTACTTCTACAAGTACTACGACAACTACTCTTACTGTACTGCTACTACTACTGCTGCTACTATTACTGCTACTACTGCTGCTACCCCTGCCATTACCACTACTACTCATAGGGCGACGGTTTCTAAAACTACGACCACCGCTATTATTACTACCACTGCAACTACGACGACGCCGACTACTATTAGTTTTTCTGCTACAGCCACGGCGACGATGAATTTCATGTTTACGATCACTAGTACTGTTATTACTACGTCGACTACTTCTACTACTACTACTACTGTTCGGATTTCTACTACTACTACTTTGACTGGTATTATTACGACGATCATCACCACGACGCATCTATTACTACGACGATTATTATTACTATTGCCGCGACGACGGCTACGCATCTTATTGCGACGATGAAGAGATATATATATATATATATATACAAACGCCGACTGCTGTCACTAGTACGTGTGCTTCTGCGTCTACTACTGCTACCGCCACTAATACAACAATTACGAGAACTACTACTGGTACTACCACTGCTACTTCTCCTGCTGCGACTACGACTACGATCACCACTGCTACTACTACTACTACTACTACTACTACTACTACGACGACTACGTTTACAACTACTACCAGTACCACGAGTACTACTACCCCGGCTAATTCTACGACTATTCCGGTTACTACGTCTTCGAACAATACTATTAGTACCCGTACGATTCCAACTACGACTACGATCACCATTTCTACGACCACGACTACTATTACTACTACTTCTACTACTAGTTCTGAATACTACTACTTCGGCTGCTACTACCAATACCACGACCACGACCACGAGTATTACTACCACTATCCCTACGGCCACTACGAATTTTATTACTACGACTTCGATTACTATTTTTTCTACGACTCCTTTTCCTACGGCTACTACTACTACTACTACTACTACTACTACTCTTGCTGCTCCTACTGCTACCCCTACCCTTGCGATTCTTTTAATTACGGCCACTACGACCTTTGCAACTACTGCCGCTATTAATAGTAATAGTATTAGCACTACTACTACTACGCATAAGGCTATTACCATTTTTTCCACTACTACCAGTACCACCACTAGTATTATTATGGCTACAAGTATTACCACCACCACCACCGCGACTACTAGTACGACTACTACTGCTACTACTGCTACTACTACTACTGCGACTTCTCCCAATACTTCTACTTCTGCCAAGGCGGCTACTACGACCTACTACGACTCCACTCCCACTACTGCCAGCACTGCGACTATTACTACGACTGCCGAACCAATTACTGCGAATACGACGACGACTACCACGACTACTATCACTACGACTTGTACAGCCACGACCACGATGAATGTTGTAATTTTGACCACTACTACTACCACTACTGTTACTACTACTACTACTACGACTACTACTACTACTACTACTGCTACTACTACTACTACTACTACCACTACCACTACGGTTACGATTACTATTACGACTACTACTACCAC